GAGATTTTTGCCCTTTCAATCTTAAAGGGATATATATTTCCAGCTAAATATTTTTTGCAGTAAAAAATATTGTAGTTACTGCCAAATCATATCAAATAAATGACAACATATATCAAGGAAGGCTCTTGTCGCAGGAAAATCCTTTCGAAAACATTAAATAAAAGGTCCATATTTTGAATGCATAATTATCACTTTTAGAGCAATTTTTGTTATCCCTGTTTCTTTCAATGTAAGTTTGTATAAACCAGTTGCTCTCTTGGAGATGTTAAAACAGAGGCACTATTATAATTATAAATGCATATTTTCTTGATATTTGTTAGGGTCAATTAATGATAAATTTGATTTTAGAATAAAATAGTTAACGTGACAAAAAGTTCTTAGTGTTATTTTAAACTTGTTACATTTATTTTATTATTCAGACCTGTACCAGAGGACGAGGCCACGACATCTTCCAAACCAGGATCGAGTTCACAATGCGGTAGTAGAAAAGGCAAAGGCAAGAGTACAAAGATCAGTTCAAAGCGAAAAGAAGATAGTCTTTGGTTGGAAGGAATAGTACCAGCGCAACGATGTCCACTTACTCCTTATCTATCTCCATCTTTGCCACCATCTGTAACTATATCGGATGCTTCTTTAGACGGCTTATGTCTATTGCGGCTTTTACATGCACTTAATCGTCATTGGGGTGTTCTATTTCCTCATCTGAAAAGTATGAGCCTATTGTCTCCACAAGATTTCATAAATAACAAGATAGCGGCAAAGGCGAGTAGACAACTACAGGACCCGTTAGTTATTATGACTGGAAATTTACCATCATGGTTACAGCAAATAGCAACAGTATGGTAAGTTATATAAATAATTCTTATATATAATGTTTATTCTCTGATATTTATATATAAAATATTATTATCTGTTTTTTATAGCCCTTTTCTATTCCCATTTGAAACGAGGCAATTGCTATTGTACGCAACATCCTTTGATCGTGATAGAGCACTCCAACGTCTTCTAGACTCTGCTCCAGAATTGTCAGGATCTGACAGTCAAGAACGTGTTACTCCGCGTTTAGAAAGAAGAAAAAGAACCATTTCCAGAACGGATATTTTGAAACAAGCGGAACAAGTTATTCAGGACTTAGCTTCCAGCAAAGCTCTTCTTGAAGTGCAATATGTCAATGAGGTTCATTTTATATTTTTCTTTGACAGAAAATATACTGTTTATAATCATTCATTATTATGTTATTGAATAGATTTATTTATTCATTTTTTGTCCTTTATTTTTTTTTTACAGGTCGGAACTGGCTTGGGCCCAACTTTAGAATTTTATGCGCTAGTTTCTAAAGAACTTCAACGTGCTGACTTGGATCTCTGGCATGGTAGTTCAAACCCTACGGAGACAGGTTACGTTAATCCTATGCATGGACTCTTTGCAACACCAATACCATGGAGTACTAAAGTGTCACATCTCGCGAAACTCAAAACTAAATTTAAATTTCTTGGTAAATTTATGGCAAAAGCAATATATGACTCAAGAATGGTATGTTTTCAATTTCGAAGTACCTCTTTTATAGTAAACTAGTACTTTAATAAACTATTATGATTCTTTCTTTTTTAGTTGGATCTACCATTTAGTTTAACATTTTATCGTTGGTTGTTGGGAGAAGAGCATACGCTTACTTTAGCAGATTTAATATACGTTTGTCCTGATATACATCGTACCCTCACGAAATTGCAAGAAGTGGTAAGACGAAAAGAAATAATGGAAAAGGATCAAAGTTTAAGAATGACGGAGAGAGCACAACGAATTGAAGCGCTAGATTTGGACGGTTGTCCTATTTCTGAACTTGGACTTGTCTTCGAATTACCAGGTTACGAAAATATAGAACTAAGGAAAGGAGGAAGTGACATACCTGTCACCATTCATAATTTGGATCAATATATCAAGGTATATATCGTAAGAAGAATAGAAAAAAGCTTATTATTAAATAATTCGTCATATGCTTTACACGTTTCTTCATTTTTTTTTTTTTTCTATATATTATATGAAGATTAAAACTGAATAAATATATCATATTACAGTTGGTAACACATTGGTTCCTCTACGAAGGAGTTTTTAGACAAATGGAAGCGTTTCGAGAAGGATTCGAATCGGTATTTCCGCCGGCGCAATTGCGATTATTTTTCCCAGAAGAATTGGAAGCTGTATTCTGCGGACACACGCAAGGTGGTGGCCAATGGGATACAAAAACCCTTTTGGAATGTTGCCGTACAGATCATGGTTATACACCAGATTCTCGGGCTATACGTTTCTTATTTGAAGTCTTATCCAAATACAATAGCGAAGAGCAAAGACAATTTATTCAATTTGTTACTGGATCACCACGATTACCTGTTGGAGGTAAGTATATGTATATATATATATATATTATTTATTTATTTATTTATTTATTTATTTATTTATTTATTTATTTATTTATTCATTATTTTTTTAATTATTCTATCGCTTATTAATATTTAGTAATAAATTTGATAATCATAAATTATATTTTATTTTATTATAATTTTTAATAAATTATATTAAATTATATTTTTTACAGGCTTTAAGAGTTTGACCCCACCTTTAACGATAGTGCGGAAAACTTTCGATCCATCGATGAAAACTGATGACTTTTTACCATCTGTAATGACTTGCGTAAATTATTTAAAATTGCCTGACTATACTACCTTGGAAATAATGCGAGAAAAATTAAGAATAGCAGCACAAGAAGGTCAACACTCATTCCACCTTTCCTAGAAATGGATGGGAAAATCACCGCCGCGCGTCTTTCTTTTTTCGCTGTCGCATTATATTCAGGTTGAGACCACTAATTCAAATATATATGAAAAGAATTTTTCTTTTTTTCTTTCTTTTTTTTTTTCTTTTTTTTTTATTTCTCTCTTCTATTCCAAATCACAAAACAACGATAAAACACGGTTTTTATACTTTGTATAAATTTGTTCGCAATTTGTTTTATTTTTAATTTGTCCAGACTTCTCTTTGTTCATAATGGGTTCAAACTAGATATTTATCTTATTACTACGTACGTTTCGGAATGTGATATACTTTATCAGAAAAAGTGCAAAAAAAATCAATGATGTTAGCCTCACCACGTAGGTTTTTCTCTCTGTGGTGATATTATGCGCTAGATAAGCTTAAGTGCGCAACCTGATTCTAGGAACTTATCTTCGGTGTGTGTAATGATAATAAAAAAAGGAATGTAAATATAGTTTAATGAGAACGCAAGTTTACATATAAATACTTTATATTACGATAGTAAAAAAAAAAATTGATATTGCTATAAAACTATATTATATATATATATATATATATATGTATCTATATATACATACATATATATACATAAATATATACATATATATATGTGTATATATATATAAGTATATATATATATACATACTTTAGCTCTCCCAGAGGACGTTTACTAGATATAAGTAAATTTTATATCAGTGATGCATTTAGCATCGCCATGTGTATCGCCAATCTTATGCCTCATAATCTACGAGGAATATATGAGCTAAAATCAGTAAATAAAATACATGCTGCTACAAAGTAGCACGTGTTTTACATCTCAACTGTAAAGAGAGAGCGCCAACTCGTGAATGTGTGGCAGCATAATATCATTCTTTGTGCCCTCTTTTCTCTCATGATATAGATCGATCTCTTATGTTCGCCGCTTAATCTACGGCACTTGCGAGCATTGCACTAATTTCGTGCAACACTCCTATATATTTAAATTTATAATCTACGTATCATTAATTAATTATTATATTATTTGATATCTTTATTCTAGGTAAGATAGTCGAATTATTACTTTACTTAACTGTGTAAGGATGCAGCCAGCATCGTCAGACCGTATTCCCATCGTGGTTGTGCGAACAGAAGAAAATTCTTATGTCCACTTAAATACAGGCCAAGCATCATATTTATGGAGAAAAAAAAACAACAATAACAACAACAAAAAAAAAACAAAACAAAATGTAAGACTCTGTATAATACGAAATAGAAAAGTTATCAATTATAAGCGAAGCTGGTGTATCAAATGGATCATATATAACGACGTATATTAATTTCTTAAATTCAGGCGCAAGAGGTTCATAAAGAAAATTTACGTGTATAAGTCGGGTGCTAAAGTTATTACCGCCGCGTACATATATGCATCACGTTAATAACCTCTTATCAAAAAAAAAAAAAAAAGAAAAAAAAATTAGTTTGATTATTAATACGATTATTATACCATGTAACATTGCTCTTGCAGGCCATAAATTGTTTTCCTAATATACAATTCAGTGCAATTAGAAGATCCATCTCTAATGGACTAGCAACAGTTGTATTCATTTCAATATTTTATTGTAGTTTATTAAATATACTTAAAAAGATAATAGAGCTGCCGATATCATGCCACCACAATGTTTAATATGTGATATATGCTGTGTGATTACACACGTACATCAGGCAATGTTACATGTACTGCAATCAACATAATGTATAAGGTACATAGTTATTTTTTATCGTGTCCTTTCACAATATGTGACGACGAACGACGAAAGGTAATACGTAAATACAATAATACATAGAAGCAAAAGAAATCTAAATGAAAGAAAATATGTTCAACCAACAGTCTTATATACACATTATAAGAAACGTGTAATGGTTCGAGATACAATTCAAACACATGTCATTAATATTATAAACAAAGTTATATTTATATCAATCCATTAGTATAAAGGACTTTTTCTTTACACAATGCAGAAAAGTTTTGTTTTTTTTTTTTTTAAAGCCTTCAATAAATGTAAATACAAGGAACATGCTTGCCAAAAAGAGAATCCTTTTTTAATCAATATTAATAATATAATACTTGCTATATATGGCATGCATGGTAATGCTATAAAATATATTACTTAAATATGATTTATTTTCCATAAAAATATATAATAACAACATTATTTATACATAGTCATTTATATATTTTTTAAAGAATTATTTACCAAAAAATATCAAACTTAAAATACGACCTTACATTTGAAACATATCACAATATATTTCTATTGTTATATTTATATAAGTAGAGATAACCATCCCAATATGAAGCATGTACCACCGATCGGCGTTATACTTGAAAAACGTTTATCGTTTGTAAAAGCAACATAATAACAAGTTCCACTGAACATTATTATTCCACAAATGAAAAAAACTGCAACCTGTAAATTAATAAGAAAAGATATAACAATTAGTAGTAAAGTCGCGATATTTAACAAAGACTTACCAAGGATGGTTTTCTACTAAGAGGTAAGCCAAGTAAAGCTAGTGTATGAATGAAATGATATCTATTCGCTGTTTCAAATATTCTTGCTTGGTCTGGGAGTTTTTCTGCATTAAGTTCTGAAACAATGAGACAATAATTTTTATACAATATATATATTTTATTATGCACGTTTAACAAATCCATTTTTTTTTTTTTTTATAACAAAGAGCATGATAAAATTAGATTATTATTAAAGATATATTGGAACTAAAAAGTGATATTATGCAACTTACTATGTGCACCATAAGCACCCAATACTACAGCTGCCGCTCCACTAAGTCCAGCAAGTTTCACGTAAGGTCCTGCAGACGAAGCTAATTTCCATAAAGGTGTAGAAGGTGGCATTTTTACTTCTTGTTTCGGTTGTAAACCCATGTAATCACCTGCCTATAATATATGTATATATTTTTTTAAATAATAGACCATATAATAGATTTTATTTTGTTATAATATGATATTACATAAATGAAAATTGATTAGATTAAAATTATTTGTTTTTAGTTTTGTTTCACTTTTTTATATTTGTTATTTTCTATATACATCATATATGCAGTATCATACCTTATGTTTTCTTATAGGTTATATTTGATATGATTGATAGCTTAGTTAAGCAATCTAAAAACAATACCATGTATCTATTCACCATTGAAAATCAAGGTCTAAATTTATTTCTCAAATAGTAATTTCATTAACAAACAGATTTAAAAACTCACCATTCTTGCTGTACCTCTGAGAAATAAGAATGTCCCAGAACTAACTGGATTGGTAAATACGACATAATTTAATAGCTCTGTAAATCCCATTTTGCTAAATTTAAATAATTGTTGAAGATTGAATTGTCTTTATTACCTTAAATTACACATAAATTCGTGCAATTTAGCTTAGTAACTCAAACCTGGTCAAAATATGTACACGAAGAAATAGCAACATGAACAACATTTCCGATTGGACATTATTGGACATCACCGTTGCATCGTAAAACAAGAGTTTTAATTGGCTAATCCATAAAATATATATATGTATAAAATATAAATATATATAAACGCATATTCAGATTAATAATATAACCTATGACTTACACGAGACGAAATTAATACAAAAGGGTAAATTAGTTCTATGTGGTAATATAACAAATTACAATTTCTGAAATTACGTTTATTTCTGTATTAGATTTATACAAATTAACAGTTTATTCATCTTGATAATTTATCATCTTAATAAAATTTTGAATGATTTGGGTTGACGCATTTAATGGTACATCGTTGGAATTTGTTTTTCCTGTTAAACTTGTTTCTAATGTACTAATCCAACTATAAAAGAAAAAAAAATCAACTTTATTTATGAATATTTATATATTCTTTCTATTTTAGATATTAAACATGATTCTGTTTTTACCTTCTTAAAACCAATATCAGCCGCATATTCTCTGAAACATTGTCGGCATATATTCAGGCCATATTTACGGATAAGTCCATGTTTATTTGCACAAGCACGGCTGTAAAAAGATTTAAAGAAATATTTTTAATGAAAAAAAAAAAAAATAAAAAAATAAAAAAATATAAATAAATGAATAAATAAATTATAATATATAAGCTAATCTTTATTAACTTGTCCATCTATCTAACCTTTTTAGGTTAGATTAAGAAATCATGGAAAAATGTATTCTATGTTATGCGTTAAATAAATAATGATAAATACTAAATTATTCAGTATACCATTTCTTATAAATATTATATAATAATGTTAAATAATAAAAAAAAATACATACAACGAAAACTTTGTAACACGCGGTTACACAACGTATAATACAACGTTATTTTATTATGTTTTCATTTAGCTAAAAATATTTGTATAATAAATCTAAAATAAACATTCCAATTGCAACTTACCAAGATCTAGATCCCTGACCGTATTTTCGTGGATGCGAATACCAAATATTTTGAAAACCCATCTTGCTAATAAATCGAGATCCTTCTTCGTTGAAGTCTCTAAATGTAAAGAACAGGGTTCTCAATCGAATGTTTCTTGAACGTATGTTCTCATGTCAATGTATTTTCAAGGCGCGAAAGAAAAGGGCGCTAGTTGTTTTTTTGAAAATTTTTTAATAAATTAACATGGTTTATTGAAATAAAGAAAACTATTTCTATATATACATATAAAAACTATGTATTTTATATAATAAATTATATTTTTTGGTTCGTATATTATTCTTGAATAACAAAATATAAGTATGATTTCGAATACAAATAACTAATATTAACTAATAACTATGATACATAAACATTGTTCAGAAACTATTTACTTATAGTAATTTCAAAATTGCTTTTAAAACATTATATCAAGAGAAAGGATAAAATTACAAGAAGAAATTATTCATTTAATTCTTACAAATGTTGTCTATTGAATATCAGAACATGTTTTTCTAACATGATACATATGTGACATACTAATAAGAGAGGGGAATACATTAAAACGGTACTTTTTCATCGTACATTCTATTCGTCTCAAACACCTTTAAATGTCACGTAAACCAAATGTTGATCCGTACTGAGGATCATTTAACATCAAACACAATGAAGCTTAATAAAAAAAAGAAGAATAAAAAAAAGGTTAAGATACATTATAATTTATTAATTTTAATATAATTATAATTATATTTATGGCATTAAAAAATAATGTATAAAAATATTAATTTTTTTCAGCAGGAGATACGTGGAAACATAATGAGTGAAAAGTTAAAATTAATATTCCAAATGTTTTTTTACTTTGCTACAGGATTAACATTATTAATTGGCATATCCTACTTTCTATATAATCAGTCACATATTAAAAGGACGTATAAACAAATAGTCCAAGTTACAGAGAAAAAACCAACATTTTTAATTTATAATAAATCCAATACCACTGAACATTTAAAGCATATATTTATAGTATTAGAACGTTTAGGTTTTAAACCTACTACTAATAAAACTCAATGGGATCTTTTATGGTCACACGAATATCCATTCGTAACATTAGCACCGGTTTTAAAAAATTTGCAATCTCATCAACGTATAAATCATTTTCCTGGTTGTGGTTATATTACAAACAAGGGACATTTATCAACATCTGAAGGTCGCTATATACCTAAAGCATTTAAGATGCCAAAGGATAAAGATTATTTTCTTACATATGCCACTTTGTATCCGCACAAATATTTTGTTAAAAAGTCTAATAGTCATCGTGGTATCAAAGTTATTAAGATTAGTGATATGAATTTAACTGATACAGATTTTTTTGTCCAAGAATTTATAGATCGACCATACCTCATTGATAATTATAAGTTTGATATAGGCATTTATACTGTAATTACATCAATTGATCCACTAAGAGTATATGTTTACAAAGGAGATGTTTTACTTAGATTTTGTCCAATAGAATATTATCCATTCGATAGCAATAATTTAGATAAGTATGTTATTGGTGACGATTATCGACCTATTTGGGAAGTACCATCTTTAAAAAACTATTATATTCGTTTTGGATTTTCAATGAAAGATTCATTGGATGCATATATAACATCAAAAGGAAAAGATACTCAAAAAATATGGAGCAATATACATGAGGCAATCAGAGAAGTGGCACTAATGAAAGAAGGCCAAATAAAAGAAGCAATTCAACGTTTCGGCGGTGGAAGAAATTATTTTGAATTGGTCAGATTTGATTTCACACTTGATGAAGATTTGAATGTATATACAATGGAAGCAAATATGTCTCCAAATTTATCTTCTGCACACTACCCACCTAATCAATTACTTTATGAGCAAGTTTTATTTAATTTATTTGCACTCGTTGGTATTGGTCAAAGAATTAAAGAGAATAATTTTGAAACAAGGTCATTTATATTCTTTAATAAATTATTTAAAGTTTTCATATACAAGATAAAATTTATATTTAAATCAAATATTTACACTACAGAAATAAGCTGGGATATGAAATGGAAGTTGCAACTAAAAATTTAGTAGTATTACCAAAATTATGTGCAAATTGCAATGATTGTTTTGTAATAGAATGTCAACTTTGTAATCCATGTTTCACACCAGAGATTAAGATTATTTTATCTCAAAGTTATAAAGAACATCAAAACAGAATGGATTTTCAAAGGATTTTTCCACCATCTATAGTAAGTTCTAGAAAAAGTCACTATAAAAGTCACTTTAAACAAAATATGATTTATATTTATTAATTTTTTATGTGATATTATTTTTTAGATCGACGGAATGGCATTGAAAGATTATACACTACGAAATCAGTTACTTATAAGATGGTATCAAGGAAAATGTGCATTGGATCATACATGGTGTATTTAATAACATTTATTACATACAGTAATTTTTTATAAAATCATAAAATGCACAAACAAGTATGAGAACATATTAAAATAATATTAGTTATCACTTATATTATTAGGTGCATCGTAATATATAGAAAAACAATGAAAAAATTATACAATCAAACTCAATATCATAATTCTTTATTATTGATTTTCAGTTTTTTATTTTATAACTTTTTTTTAGCTTTACATTCTGGTGCATTTGGATTTGTACCTTCGTAAAAATTTTTAAGTAAATTTATTGCTTCTTTACTTTTTATATCTCCTATTATTGTTACTTTGGTATCATAAACATTGGATACTTTGAAAACACTCACACATCCTCCAAACCTGTCATTTCTACAGCCATAAATAATACTGCGTACTCGTAATTGATATAATGCAGATGTACACATTATACATGGTTCTACAGTAACAATAATATCAATGTTAGAAAAAACTTCTTTATAATCTAAACACCTTTCTTTACAGAATACTAAAACTTGATCAATGCAATTCATTTCAGCATGTCTAGTTGCGTTACAAGTTTCATTAACAGTATTATTACTTTCTGCAATTATTTCATTATTATATATAAATAAACATCCAACCGGAACTTCACCAACTTTTAGTGAAGCCGCAGCTTTTTTTAAGGCAATGTCCATCCATGCAACTGCATTCATAGTGATATTAAAATTAATAAAAACAATAATACAAGTCTTAAAGTACAAATAGTTAATACATAACATAGAAATGTATCTTCTATTGTTTATAAGAAGAAAATAACTTTTTATAACCATATATGTTAGTCCATACTACAGATAAAAAATGTTCCTTATATGTACTTATTGTACTTGTTGTAATAACACAATTGTTTAATTACTAAAATATTCTGCTAATCCAAGATCGTGTAATCTTTGTTTAGTTTTTTGATCCCAATTTTGATTTCCTACAGATCTTGGACTAGGATGAGTAATCCATAGAACCTAAAATAGTAATTAATTACATAAAATATAAAATAACATAGAGAGAATATATATAAAGTGATTCTTAAATAATGGTTTTTATTACCTGTGCAGATAAATTATCCGCACTTACTACTGTTTGTGCTCTTTTTTCTGCAAATCTTCCTATACCAACTATAATCTTTATATCCAGCAATTGAATAATTTTGGATAATGCCTGATCACACAATTCATGTATTAATTTTTGTTCTTCACCCTGCAAAAAATATTTTGTAAGTATATAAAAATAATAGAAAGAAAGAGAGTAAATATTGCCTTTAATTCTGCAGGTGTGATGTTTCGGCCCTTACGATCCATTAAAGCAATAGGACAATAATTATGTATATAAGAATGTTTAAATAAATTTTGTGGGGATCCGCACATTTCTTTGAAAAGACCCCAAAGTCTTTTACCACTAATTTCACTACGTTTACAATCAAACCCTGTTACTTTTCTATCTGGCTGTTCTCGAGGAGGTTTCCCAATAAAACCGTGAAGTTTTAGCCAGTCACGAACCATACTAATTTCGCCAAATGGTACACCTGTTTGTGACATACCCCATGGACCAGGATTCATTCCAAGAAATAAAATCTTTTTAGGTCCATTACAATAGGTTTGAACGTACATTGCATGTACCTCAAATGCATAGATGATTGGATTATAAACATATGCAACGTTTGAAGGAAAATTTATAGTTTGTAGTCTTTGACATAGTTCTTGTTCAATTAATAATAGTTTTTCAGGAACTGGCAATTGCACAGATGATAATGTTGATGAATGATCTGTACTATTTGGAATTTCTGTTATATTTTCAGATGATTTAGCATCATCAGGACTACTATCAGACATTGATAACTTTAATTTTTTTGAATTTGGATTTTTAGATGGATTATCACATTCAGAATAATTCCTTTTTTTAGGAGGCATGCTGTACGTGTTTCTTTGACAACTATTTCTAATTACTCTTATAGAATCATATATATACACTATTTATTCGTTAAAATAATTAATATTTTCACAGTAAACGAATAAATAATAGAAAATTGATTCGCAAATACCTTATATCTTGATAAAAATTTCAACAAATATTAAATGGATATTTTCACGTCTTTCGAATGGAGGAAAATTCAAATATGGTGCATTAATGGTTGATCATTGATTAAATTTAATCTAGATAGACTGTGTAACATAACGTTATTAATACGACAATGATTAAAAATTAAATGATTGAATTTTATAATCAATTTTGAATTTAAATATCAAAAATCATTGTACCAATAACAATGCATGAAAATTACTTTAACCAATTAAAGGTACTGACAGCAACATCAACGACGTAATATTAAATTTATTCCATCTAGTACCATGCTTATCAAGTATCAGCAAGTTCCGTGGATAAGTAGTTTGATGTAATTTTAAAAATGATATGTATGGTTATTAATTTAATTATATATTAATATCTTGAAAAAAGATAACAAAAATGTTGATAAATTTAAAAAATATAATTGATATAACATTGGAAATGTTATTTTGAATTACATGATTGTGTGGTATATGCATATAACCAATTAAAACGTGTAGTGTTTGTGTTAAGTGCAGTAACGTTCATGCTGCTGAGTTTATATACTGGATGATACTTTGTGTTATGTTGTAAAAAAGTATAGGAAACAAAAATATTAATGATCAAAAATGGAAAATCAAAATGGTCCTCCCATTAAAAGTAATAATCCTGCACCAACGGTTGAGCAGATTAATGCAGATAAAATAACTCAGGTATTTCATTTAATCATTTTATTTTATTGTTTCAGAGTTTCGTTTTTAAAATTGCGTTCGTTTAAATAAATAATACTCGTTTTCTTATAACTTAATTAATTATATATAATACAATCTGAAACAATAAAATTTTTGGTTTATTTCACAGTTGGCCAACAAGTATTGGGCACCACATACTACAGATATACATCTTTCATTTAATTCTCAAATAGTAGATGACATTTATATTCAAGAAATATGTGCTTCGAAGTTTTCAATTCGGCGCATTATGATGCTAGAATTCAGTCAATATTTGGAAAATTTTCTTTGGCCAAATTATCATGTAGAAACTGCTACACGTGCTCATACTATGTCTATCGTTGTTATGGTCAATGAGAAATTTCGAGAGCGCGTACAAGTTTGGGAGGCATTCGAGAAGAATCCTACTCAATTCGCAGGATTTTTTCAAAAAGTTCTTGAAGCATGCTTAGAAGAGAGTATAATGGATTTTGATCTTAAGGAACAAACCGCTCTTATTGTTTTTTTGAATCATTGCTTTAATTCTATGGAAGTACCATTAGTTAGAGAGGAAGTAAAGAGATTGGTATCGTTGTCTATGTGGATTTCATTACAAGAAGGACGTAGAGAATTAGAATTTAAAAAATATCCAAAATGGAGAAAATACTGGAAGGTTATAAGAAAAAAAGATAATCCTGAGTTGAAAGAAAAACTAGAATGGGAACGTAAATTTTTGCATAGACTAATGATCAAATTTATGACCATATTAGAAACAATTCCACTTGAAGGTAATTGATGCACGAGTTCCTGACAGGAAAAAAGGTAAGCAATGACCTCTTGTTGTAGGACAAAAATATTGATGATCAAATAATATTTTAATATATTAACAATTACATGTTGTGTATAAAGAAATTTGTCCTTATGTCAATTGTATATAGAGGCATACATATACCATTTTTGCCTTTAGGAACTCGTGTTGCTATTTTTCTTATATTTTGATATATATATATACATATATATGTTAGTATATATTTAGGAACAATATAACATTAAATACATTATTACAGAACCTGTTTTCCCTGACAAAATACGTTATTGTGAAAGATTCTTGGAACTGATCATTGATCTAGAGGCTCTTCTACCAACCAGACGCTTCTTTAATACTGTGATGGATGATTGCCATTTGGTAGTACGCTGTCAACTATCTAATTTGTTACATCGGCTAGAAGGTGGACTATTTGGTCAGGTAAGTTTTAGAAATATAATATCAGGATATAATTAGATTATGTAAGATAGTATATTTAATTATGAGTATGCATGAATATTTATATAAAACGATTCTTTTTTTATACAAAAATTGCCATATTATACAAACAAATATTACATAAATATTTTGAAAACAGAGATTAACTATTAGAAGATTAACTATTTCATAGTTAACTTTGACTATATACCGAATATAGGTATTAATACTTTACTAGGTAATATATATTTATAAAATTGTATTATATTATTAATTAACAGATTTTGATTATATATACAAATCTATTTGATTTAAGGCATATATAATTTACAAGATATCAAATATCATAATACTATTTAAGTTTAATTGATATTAAATATTAGATATGTCTTATTTAGACATTCAGTCAGAGTTATTTATAAGATATAACATAAGTGCACTTTAATAACCTGCATTTATTGCTGTCATCTCTTCTCCCCAATCAAGGCCTTCAATATTTTCTCCATTATTACAACAATTGCATGTTTTCCCAAGTAAAAATGTGACTCTTTTTTGACCAAATACACATATATAAAGTACAAAAATTGCTTGTAACAAATTAACAACAATGTGGCAATATGCTAAAGCTTCATATTTTAATCCTGACAGTAATAAAGATATCCAACTAATGCTCATTATTGCGAATAGAAAAACAAACATTCTGAAACTGTATTTCATTTTATGATGAATTCTGCCATATGTACTCATTCTTTTAATTCTGTTTGCTGTTGTTAAAACAAAGGAAAAATCAACTATTATTGTAAGAATAATAGACATAAATAATACTGAAAGAGCTAGCCAACCAACAGTTTCTTGAGCGGGATATACTGTACCACCTATAGATGGTTTGTCAGTTTCTAATGCAAAATGTGCAAAAATCGCAGTCCCAGCAATAGCAATAGTTGATATCCAAACATATGTGGAATAGTAACAATATTTTCTTCCATCAGTTATACGCAAAAATACATTGCGAGATCTAAATGTATTCCAAACGTAATAGCCCAAAGCATTGAGCCAAAAGAAAGCTGCTAATAAAGACACATATGCGACTGTATCTGAAAAAAAATCAAAGAAAATTAAGTAGAAATTGGATTTTATTGAAATTCTACATTTAGTTGATTTTAAACTCACCAGCTATCATAAAACTAACATGACTACCAAGTTCAGTGAATATTCTTACTGTCGAAGCACATTGATTTGTTATAAGGCACAATGTCATACTAGTTATCATATTACCTACAAGATCTCGCAATTGCGGTAGAACAAAATAAATTACTGCGACAACAAGATATGCTGCTATGGATATGGCACGAAAGGCAGGATCAATAGCATGTTTCATCAAGTAATTGGCATCTGTCCATTGAACAGGTACCTCAGGCACACATATCATAGCATAGGTAGCAACCAAATGATCTCTACTTAAGACAGCTTTGTCGGCACAATATTTCCCAAAAGAATAATCATAGTGAATGGATTTGGTCTCTTCTTCTCCGTCATCAAATCTGAACGGTTCTATGACCTCTTCTCCATTTCTGATTGATTCTTTCTTGAGATCATCGATATAATGTCTAAGTTTGCCAAAGGGCAATACAATAGCCAATCTATCTGGTCCGGAAGGATAATAATATACATGCCATTGATGTTCATTACTATGACATTTAGGTAATCCAAAACGATAATCTGGAGTGACTTGATTTCGTAACGAAAAATCTGAGTCCTTGTCTTCTGTATATTCTGGTTGCCATGGTTTCGTTTCGTTTGTCACTGATAATGGTGTGCACGTGTCGTCCAAAAGAAGTTCACTGAGTTCGCAACACTTTGCAATCTTTACTGCATTTATTTTGGCATTTGTATTTCCACCGGCGAATCTTGAATGACTCGCTAGGAATGATATGAAAAGAAACGCCGTTGCAAGATACATGTCACTCCCGTATTGTCCCCCTTCTCTCTCTCTTTCTCTCTCTCTCTCTCTCTCTCTCTCTCTCTCTCTCTCTCTCTCTCTCTCTCTCTCTCTCTCTCTCTCTCTCTCTCGTCTCTTACACACACAGGCGTGCACACTTTCTATCTTTCTCACTTTTTCTATTCCTTTTTTCTTTCTTCCTTTATTATCATCACCTTCGGTTCCTTTCTTTTCCCTCCATTAATTCAACATTTTCAACGTGCAATAAGTTTCTCGAAGATGTTCCATGGAAGTATATATGTAAATTGATGAAATATTGATTTCCAGTCTCTTTTACAGGACGTTTAAGGTCTGTACACACGTAAGCGCGAATAAGGCAATACATTGGAATCATCTTCGCTTTGCCATACCTGTCTGTCGCTAGTACTGCCTGCAAAGAAACCTACCCCTGCCCATCCATACTCGTCGTCGTTTTCTCCTTCTTCTACTTCTCCTCCTCTTTATCTCTTTATCCATTCTCGTTTCTCCTTGTGCTCTTCCTTACTTTATTTCTCTTATACGCTATCCTACTTCCCCCTCTATGCGTTAATTTATTCTCTCTCTCTCTCTCTTCCTCTCTCTCCCCCCCGGCCCCTTTCGGGAACCCTCTGTATATGCTTCTGTACGTGTGGTATGTATGCGCGCGCGCGCGCGCGTCTGTGTCGCATTAAGGAGTCTGCACACTATTGCAAAAATTTAGGGTCAGTTCACACTGAACACATCTTAATAAAGAAATTCCATTTAAAGTCAAATACACAAATTCGCCGAATGAACGAAGGTTTCAAAGAATTAGAAAATGTTTTATTTATTAATCGCATCTATTTTCTGATTTTTCTACATATCTATGTATGATATTATTTCCTTACACGTTAATTCATTCGTTTGTCATGATTGTATCATTGTTTCGGATATTTTATATAAATGAAATAAGTAAATGATAATCGTTTGTAAAAACATACGAATAAATATGATAAAAGAAATGTTTTTGAAAATGTCTTTTACCGATAAGTTAGAAGAAAAAACAAATAGTATTTGCATTACATTTGAACGATGCTTAAAAACGAATAAAGCATCTTCTGTGATTAGATTAGATCGTTCTTTATCATATTAACAGAGTGAGTCTTCTACATTGATGCGACGAGTAACTTCACTGCCGCCCTCGCATACCTCTTTGTTAATAGGTAGTACAAACGCTTCCTTTTTGTAACGTATCGTAAATGATACTTATGCGACTACAGCAATGCTAGAGTCGAACCGAACGTTTTATAATCAATATATGTAATAGCATTTGCGTCAACAACGCAAAAAAAATCTCTATATTATATCATTTTTTGATTCGTCAGATGTATTTATTTATACATACGTATTACGTTTCAATTTATAAGATATATATATATATTTTTTTTTTTTTTTTTTTTTTTTTTTTCAAATTAAAAATATTCTCATCGCGTTGACGATGAGTCGTTCGATTGTATCAGAGTCCCTGTCCAATGTTGTTGCACGTACAAAGTCCGATATGTATATCGTGTGAAAGAAAGAAAAAAATTCGATGAGTCGATGCTTTTAAAGCAGTGTTTCTGCTTTAAAATTAACTGATTTAAAGAGTGTTTCTCATTATCGTTTTGGTTCTTTGTCACTAACATATATTGACAATTTTTCAAATAAAAGGTATCAGTACAGGACAAATAGAGAGGTATAATAAATAGTATGTGTATTTATATTTTATTATTCTTTTCTTTTTCCTTTTTTTTCGACTTTCCACAATTTCTTAATATTTACAGATTCTTGTACAATAATAATCTCTTCGCTCACAAAAGCAAAGAAAATTATATTAAACTATATGAAATATATGCATGAATACATTCTAAGGAGATATATATGGATTAGTTTTATTTGTGTTATGAAAATTTAGATATTATTTCTTCTTTATGTACTTACGATATTGAGATAATTATTTCCAATTAATGCGATTGTAAACTTTGTTTATAGTTAAAATAGAATGAGATCGTAAATCGATATATTATCTTCTTCTTTGTCTTTTGAACGACTAAATTCTAATAATATCATAGATAAATTAAATATTCTTAATCTTGTTGAGACAATTCCAATTCTTCTGGTAATACTATCTCACATTCCTCGTCTTCGTAAGCTGTCCATGATTTAGGGAAGATTATACCGCAAGGTTTCTTTTTCGCTAAAAGCTTTCTCACCCTTTTTCGTGTTACAACCAAAAGAAGAAATATTATAAAACCTTGCAACGTATTGAGGATGTCCGTTGGTATCCTAATACATAAAATGGGAGAACGAGCATGAAATAAAAGCCCAAAATAGAATGAGAATATACGAGGCACGTTTGAGAGAATAACATACATTCGCTTAATGGATAGAAAAAAAAAGAAGAAGAAGAAAGAAAAAGAACAAAACAAAAAATATATATGATGAAAGAAAAAGAACAAAAAAGATATATGATATACCGTGTTCGCTATTAATACAAAGGAAAACCGAAGATCGTATATGCCAAAGGCTATATTTTAATAATTGCTTTTTTGTGATTTGTGCTGCTGCTAGTGTGTATGTATGCATGTATGTATGTATGTATAATGTGTGTGTGTGTGTGTGGTGTGTTTACGTTTTCAAGGATCATCATCGTTCATTCTGTATTACGAAATAAATTTCATTTGTAAGAGTTATACTAAACGTATAAAGGAATAAAAAAACTTAATTGATTCGATAATATACATACCAATACCACTGAGTTGTCCCAGCAGCGAATGATAATATTTCAAAGATCCATGTTATACCCATAACAAGCATAAGCTTTATATAAAGCAAACATTTAAATCGTAATGCTCGTAGGTTGTTTCCAATATACTCCCGGTATTCATGCCATAATCTCCAACTTGTTAGACCCAAATAGATAACATTTAGTGTCAATAAAACGGCTATTGGACCATAAAAAAACACCCATACTTCGGATGTACCTAAAAAATTCGAAAGAAAGATTACTTTAAATTAAACATATATACATATATATAAGGGGGGGAGGGGGGAAAGAAATGGAGATGTAATTAATACGAAATTAAATGGAAACATTAAGTAATATGAATTACCATTAAACCAACATCTGTATTCGCCAAAATGAGGTTTCAAATGAGACCCTTGAATATGATGAGCGATCAATGCTGATATTAGAAAACAGATCGGTACGAACCATCCATAAACACAATATATCAAAAAAAGTACTCTATCTTTGATTAGGAAATTTTTAAACCTGAGAATATAATCGTTTTTATTAAATTAGTTCGGTAAAACTGATTCTTTATGAACAATGTATGAAATATTTTTTACTCACCAAACAGTTCGCCAAATATTAAAAGCCACGATGTTCAACCAAAAGAAGGTGGCCATGAAGGCATAGTAGAGAAAGAATGCTAATGTGAAAAAATATGAGTGTTTCATTAATTCTAAATTCTAATTCTAAATTTAACTTATTCTAAATTTTTACTAATATTCTAAATCATTATACATACATATATATATATATATATATATATACATACCTAATGTAACACACATCGTTATTTCTTCACTTTCATATTCCTTAATATGTTGTACGCAAAGAATAATATAACTGACTGCCAAAGAAAATACAGCACCCATCATTGCTTTGTCTTGTATTTCCCGAAGTTCGGGAAGGATCAAATAAATCATCAAAGTGGCAATCAAAAATATCGCCGATATCATGCTGAGAATAAAGAAAAGTATGCTTTTCCATAGTGGTGGCTCGTCCATATACGTTTCATCGAAGCATACGAATACAGAAGGTTTGATATTTTTCGTATTTATCACACAAAAGCTATGATAATTAAATACTTTATGAGTCTGAATGAAATATTAAAAGAAGAAGAAGAAAAAGGAAGAAAAAAAAAACAAATAAAGTGAAAAAAATTGAACGGATTGTAATGGAAAAAATTAATAGAACATTTACTGATCCTGTGATATTGGAATGAGACTTTCGGTTTCTGTCAGCATAGCTCCTTTCTTCGTTTCAATAATATTAAATTCTTCCAGTTCGCCATTTATTTTATAAAAGCCTAGTGTACATTTGATACGAATGTTACTGCCGTCACTGCAATTCCTTCCGGCTACCCACGTCGTATCATTTTGACAGCAATTTATGTCGATGGCTTCGCTTAATAAGCTGGTCCATATCAGCCAATGAAGGCATAATATCCAAACAGGTACTGTGAAAAGCGTTAAGCGAAATGAGTTCATATGAGAAATTAATAGGGCAACGCGTTACGATACTCTTCGTTGTCTTCAATTTTATTAACGCAACTGAAATAAATTGAAAACAATTAAGCGGTAAAAAGAGAAATAATAATAGAGGAGCGATTGAAATGAAAGCGGAGTGGAAAGACACGAGTAACACGCGTTTTAAATAGTTCTTATATCATATAATTCGTTTTTACAATACATTAATGCATATTTTGGTAATTGAACGTGCATGATTCACGATAATCGTTATTTCTAATACCGGAAAATATAGAGACTATCTGTAGATTTAACTTCGATAAGAACGATAATATCGTTTTACGCTATCTACATTTGTATTTCGTATATTAACTTGCATTCGTAATATTAATAGACGTGAGACAAAAGAGAGATAGATAAAGAGAGAGAGAGAGAGAGAGAGAGAGAGAAAGAGAGAGAGAGAAAGAGAGAGAAATGAATCATCAAATATAAATACGAATAAAAGAGTAAATATTTGTAATATAATTTGTAAAAATATAATAATTATTCGACTTCATTGAGAGAGATCGGTACGATTTTATTTGATTTCAAATCTCGTATGACATTAATCAATCATTGATTCTTTTTATCACTTTGATCATATAGAAAATCGAAATTTCTGGATAAAAATAGTAATCTTTTTTCAATATACGCTGATATCAATGTTTGTTACGTACAATATCTACATTTATTATTTAACGTAATATATTACTTGATATTTTTACGAAAATCTTTAATCGCTTAAGATTTTATGTATGCACACGTTCATATATATATATGTATATAAATTAAATATAAATATTAAATGTATGTGCATATTTAAGAAGAACGAATTTATGCTTTTATAAACTTGGATGAATGTACGTAAATACAAAATGACGCACGTCACAAATGCGTTAATATGTGCATGCGTATGTGTGTGGGTGTGTGTATATGTTTTGTATCTTTAAAAGAATTAATTTTCATATATAATATATTTATATTAATTGTCTTAAAAAATGAAATAGAAAAAATGATGAGATCTTACCTTTCATCGACAATAAACAAGGTTTTCGTTTATAATTCATATTTGACGGCATTTATTTTTCACTTTTCATTACCACATGTCGTTTCTCTCTCTTTTTCTCCCTCTCTCTCCCTCTCTTTCTCATCAGATAATCGAAAATATTTCATAAAAGAAAAAAACAGAACAAAATAAAGAACAAAAAAAAATATAAAAAATCAAAAAAATAGAAAAAATCTAAGCATGATGAACTTTTGATCATTCAATCGTACGTTTTATCTGTTATGTGGCACACTGTTATCAAAGGGCACCATAAATAGATTTATACGTGATAAAGTCAATTATAAAAGGAGTGCAAAAGAGTAATTCGTCAACATTAACATTCCTATTCTGATTAAATATTATCAAATAAAATATTATAAGACTTTTGGAGTATCTCGGGCTGCTGGAAGAAGTTTTCACTCTCGAAAATATCGAACTTGGACAAAGAGAGAAAGAGAGAAAGAGAGAAAGAGAAAGAAAAAAGAGAATGACAAAGCTACCCTGGGCTATTCTTGCACTTCTGTCTCGACGACTATAACACTGGGACTACAAGAAAGGAAAATGAAACGTTAACGCGCGAACTATTTTCTTATATTTTTTGTTAATGTATATTTGAAAACTATAAAAAGATAATTTCAATTATAATTCTCGAGAGATTCAATTAAGAATATTTTTTAAATAAGTTAAAATTTTAAACTTCGTGTATTTAATTTCGAATAATGTTCAAAGTATTTTTTGACTCGTACGTGTTATAAAAATCAAGAAGAGGAGACTCGCTCTCGGAGGAATGTTAACGCACACACGATACGCACGATACTACTTGTCTGAGCCATCAACCGTTCCTCGCGAACGCCCATAGATAGAAAATATCTGCCTTTCGACGACGAGTTACATTTTTTCCTTTTCGATCAAGAAAGACGGATAAAAAGAAAGAAGAGAGAAAAAAGAAGATAATCAATTGGAGTGTCTTGTATTCTTGATCGATTAAAATTCATATACTGTATTATCCTTTTTATTTATTTATTCATTATGAAAATTAATTATTTATTCTTCTTGTAATTATATATATATATATATATATTTCAATATATTAGTTATAATTAATTTTTTATATATAGTAGGGCGCTTAATAAGAATTAATATAAATGTATTAAAAAACTTTAAAGAAACGGTATATTTTTATTAAGATTACTTTTAACGGTATACTTTTTATTAAGATTACTATACACCCGCGGCTAGAAGATCTTTATCAGAAAAAAAAACCTGTTAAAAATAGAGATTTGAGAGTGTTAATAATTAGTAATAAATGATACGGTATAAATCTCTTTGTTCTATGGATTAATATATTATTAATAATCAAATATAATAATATTAGTCATCGATGGATATCATATTACTTTGAATTTACTATCATTACATTGATAGTCTAATTTTAGCACTTAATATGCGTCGATAAACCGTGCTTATATACTATACAAGTATTATATACACGTGTGAAACATTAAATTAACTACACGTGTCATGATAATGCGTACCAATGTCAATTGTAAATTCTCTTATAAACACTCATTTGCTTATATTATAAATTATTATCAATATATATAAATATATATATATATATGTATATATATATATATATATATATATATATGTATATATATATATATATATATATATATACATATATATATCTATGCATACATATGGTATGTATAAAATCGAATCGCAAATAATCATACGATAAATACAACAAGATAGTTATAATCGATAATATGAATGGAATAAGAATGAAAAAATGTTTAATCTACAATATACAGAAGTGGGTATTGTAAAGTAAAAAAATTCCATTACTTTATCTTAATAACAATTTGTAATTGTGTAGTTGAGAAGTGTGTCGAAGGACTCGAACGAAGAATGCCAATTACATTGACGTGTGAATAAAAATGATTAATTATAATCGTCACTATATGCGTATCTCTTATTTTTCTTTTTTTATTATTTTTTTTTCTCTCTTTTTTTTTTATTTTTATTTTTATTCTTTTTTATGTCGACTTATACGTAAATATTCTACGTCCTCGTGAATCGATGAAAAAAATGTCGAATCTTTCGAAATCGAAAAGAAAAAAAGAAAGATTCGTCTCAAAGAAATGTTTGTATGATTTGCATATTACTCATGTATTTTTTATTAGTATTGAAATGAAATGGGAATTTACCATAATGTAAACATAATTATTCAAAAGTTACGTAAAAAGATCTATAGGAAAAAAAAGTAAATTAGAAAGAAGCATATATGTAATAGTGAAACAAGGTAGCGTATGTTAATTGGAATGAGAGAGGAAGAGAAAAGAGAAAGAGAGAGAGAGAGAGAGAGAGAGGGAGAGAGAGGGATAATCGAGTTGAAATGAAAAAGAGATAATATCTACTCCTATACTGTTATCATTCATAATAATAACGCTCATAATAATAAAATCAATTGCTAAAATATTTTTTTAAAGTAGTAAAAAATTAATTATTATTCGTATAACCGATTAGAGAATATATATTATATGTATTTATATTTGATTATCTATCTTTAGAGCTTGATGAACTTTGTAACGATGCATGTGTGTGTGTATTTGTTGCATATCTATATATTATGAAATATTTTAATACGCTAAAAAAAAAAAAAGAAAACACTCATATTACTTATTTCATTAATTATATTACGATCGATAATTTCAGCTTCTGGAAATGCTGAAGTTTTATGCCAGATTTGAAATCAGCGAAGAAACGGGAGATCCTTTGACCGATCACGATATGACTCAATTACATTATGCCAAAATTACATCCCTTCAGGTATAGATGATATATGTACGCATATGACGTATCGATTATTTCTATGTATAATAAATGTATATGAATTATAAAATCTATATATGTATTTTTTTTTTTCCATATACAGAAAGCGGTCTTCGCTAAATTTCGTGATTTACGAAATTTTGCCTTGGCAAACGTAGCAAGCGTGGATACCAGAGATGCGCTTAATAAACATTTTGGATCTCTCAGGTGAATATATATTATCATTAAATATAAATTTATTCTATTGACAGAATGAAAATATATTTATATGTATCTACACATTTGTTGATTTTACTTTTTAGTCAAGAAGAATTGAAATCTATTGCAAGTTATTTGAATTTGGTACCACCGAAGGAAAGGGAGAAAAATGAAAATTGGTATCGCTTGGACATAGATTTTCTTCGAGAACTATTGGTAATTTAAAAGCAATCTTTACTCGTATTTTCAAAAGCGGAATTCTACTCTTTTCTTTTTTTCTCTTTTCTTTTTTACACAAATTTTTTTTCTTCTCTGTTTCAGATATCGCGACACGAACGTAGAGCATCACAACTCGAAGAATTAAATGAAATGCCACTTTATCCAACCGAGGATATCATTTGGAACGAAAGTATCGTACCAACCGAATATTTTTCAGGCGAAGGCTGTTTGGCTTTACCGAAATTAAACTTACAATTTTTAACTCTCCACGATTATCTCTTAAGAAACTTTAATCTTTTTCGTTTGGAATCCACATGTACGTATGTTCAATGTCTATATTTTCGAAATGTCTGTATGTTTACATTGATTTCATTATCATTTACAGATGAAATACGCCAAGATATCGAAGACGCTGTGAGTAGATTGAGTCCATGGTATGTGATTCATATGAATTACGATAAGCCAAATCATATTATAATTCTTATACACTGGAATAACATTACTTTTTTTTTTAGGCAAGCTGAAGACGGTGGTGTATATTTTGGTGGTTGGGCCAGAATGGCACAACCGATTACACAATTTGCAGTCGTTGAAGTAGCCAAACCTAATATCGGTGAAAAGAGACCATCTCGAGTACGTGCCGATGTCACGATCAATTTGAGTGTTCGAAAGGAAATCAAATCAGAATGGGAAAATCTTCGGAAGCACGATGTTTGTTTTCTTATTACAGTGAAACCACAAAATCCGATCGGTAACATTAACGTTATTATAATTATTCGTAACTTTGAGATTATAAAATTAACATTTATATCCAATGGGGAAGAAAGAGAGAGAGAGAGAGAGAAAGAGATAAAGATTTCAACAGATTTTTGTTATCCTAATAGGTACAAAATACAGTCATAAGCTTCCTTTTATACCACAAGTTGGTTTAGCCACAGTACGTGGATGTGAAGTGGAAGGTATGTTAGATTCCAATGGAAGAGTTATTGAAGATGGTCCCGAACCAAGACCTATTTTACCAGGAGATACTAGAACTTACAGAGTATGGTTAGACTCTAATCAATATCGAATCGATATGGATAATGCTAGTCACGGTGGTGAAGATGTTTACGAAGGATTTAACGTAATAATGAGACGAAAGCCTAAAGAAAATAACTTTAAAGCTGTTTTAGAGACTATACGAGAACTCATGAACACGGAATGTGTTGTTCCGGATTGGCTTCATGATATTATACTTGGTTATGGTGATCCTGGTGCTGCTCGTTATTCTAGGTATATGATCTTTGACAAGTGGAATTTTATTAACATTCCATTATCAAGAGATAGTGTAAACAATATTTATTAATCATCATGATTATTAACAGAATGCCGAATGAAATAGCAACGATGGACTTCAACGATACGTTTCTCGATATAAAACATTTACGGTCTAGCTTTCCACATTATGAGATTAGAGTGAAATGTGATGAACAAGAAAAACTCGTTAGACCTTTCCGATTGACATTCGAAGATGTTATCGCTAAACAAAATAATGAACATGTTGACAAAATTATTATAGTTGAACCTCACGTACCTCCTAGCCGAGGCCCATACAAAGCTAATGAACCTAAGAAGTTCGTATAAAAAGAAATTATTTGTCCATGATATTGTTATTCTTTAAATTACGTTATTTTATATATGTTTGATATTTATTGCAGAAATCAAATCCCTTTTACACCAACACAAGTGGAAGCCATTAGAGCTGGAATGCAACCAGGTTTAACACTTGTAGTAGGTCCACCTGGTACTGGTAAAACTGATGTAGCGGTTCAAATTATATCTAATCTTTATCATAATTTTCCTTATCAAAGAACACTCATTGTAACGCATTCGAATCAAGCACTAAATCAATTGTTTGAAAAAATTATGGCACTTGATATCGATGAACGTCATTTGTTACGTCTTGGTCATGGAGAAGAGGCATTAGAAACTGAAAAAGATTTCAGTAGATATGGTAGAGTAAACTATGTGCTAGCTAAACGTTTAGATCTACTTATGGAAGTACAAAGACTACAGGTAATATATCAATCTTATCATATTATATTAATTTATTAAATTTATTATTATTATATAAATTATACAAAGAACTTTGACATTATTTTACTAATATTTGTTAAAAGGAATCGTTGAATGTGAAGGGCGATGTAGCATATACTTGCGAGACAGCAGGACATTTCTTTATGTATCAAATACAAACACGTTGGGAACGTTTTGAGACTAGAATTAAACAAAAACAGGGATCAGACGCATCATCAACCTCGTCGTCGACGGCTTTTATCGTGGATGAAGAATTTCCATTCCATAAATTTTTCGATAATGCACCACAACCATTATTTAAACATAAGACGTTTGAGGAAGATATAGAGATTGCTTGTAGTTGTTTCCGGTACATACATATGTTGTTTCCATCTCTTCGTAATATCTAATAATTACATTCTGTATATATATATATATATATATATATATATATATATATATATATCTAATCTAAGTACATTATGTTTATAGATATATTGAAAGAATATTCGCACAATTAGAAGAATTTAGAGCATTCGAATTGCTCAGATCCGGACTTGATAGATCTAAATATTTACTAGTGAAGGAAGCAAAGGTTATAGCTATGACATGTACTCACGCAGCTTTAAAAAGGCGTGAACTTGTGGATATGGGTTTCAAATATGACAATATCCTAATGGAAGAGTCTGCACAAATTTTAGAAATTGAAACTTTCATTCCGTTATTACTTCAAAATCCTCAAGATGGTTATAATCGTTTAAAACGTTGGATAATGATTGGTGATCATCATCAATTGCCACCTGTTATTAAAAATATGGCATTCCAAAAATATTCGAATATGGAACAGTCTCTTTTCGCACGATTTGTAAGATTAGGTGTTCCAACGGTTGATTTAGATGGCCAAGGACGTGCCAGGCCGAGTATATGTAATTTATATAATTGGCGATACAAAAAGCTTGGTAATTTATTACACGTAGAACGTAGTGCTGAATATTTAGTGGCAAATGCAGGTTTCCTTTACGATTTTCAATTGGTTAATGTCGAAGATTTCAATGGTATTGGAGAAAGTGAGCCTAGTGCATATTTTTATCAAAATCTCGCTGAAGCAGAATATTGTGTTGCTGTATTTATGTACATGCGTCTTTTGGGTTATCCAGCGGATAAAATTAGTATATTAACTACATATAACGGTCAAAAACACCTTATAAGAGATGTAATAAATATAAGATGCGCAAATAATCCATTAATAGGTCGGCCAAACAAAGTAACAACCGTTGATAAGTATCAGGGTCAACAAAATGATTATATAATATTATCTCTAGTAAAAACACGAGCAGTAGGTCATTTAAGGGATGCTAGACGTCTCGTGGTAGCAATGTCAAGAGCACGACTAGGTCTATACGTCTTTGCCAGAGTATCCCTTTTTAAAAATTGTTTTGAGCTTACGCCTGCATTCAATCAACTGATGCAGCGACCATTAAAGCTTCAACTTTTACCACAAGAAACTTATCCTAGTGATAGATTAAACGATGCTATTCCATCGACATCTCCAATGGAAATAGAAGACATGCCACATATGGCTAAATTCGTTTACGATTATTATATGGAAAAAGTGAGCGGTATAAAGGTAAGGTTTCATTCCATATATAAATTTCTTTTTTTTTTTTCTTCTAAATAATTTATAATGAATGTACGATTGCATTTATATAATCAAATTTTATTTCTTTCTCAATATAAGGAATCACAAAAAATGTGGCAAAAACCAGGTAGTATGCAAACAACTGGTAGTCCAGTACATAAAGTTCCTGCTCATCCTGGTGCTGATGATGATACGGATGATGAAGAAGAAGAAGAAGAAGAAGAAGAAGAACAAGAACAAGAACAAGAACAGCAACAGCAAGAAACACAAGAAATTATAAATGAAATAACCGAAAATAAATGCGAGCCAATACAAAACTTGATCGACGAACCAACTTCTGAGACAGAAGATAATAATGAATAAACGTGTAATCAAGTTGATTCTATTATTAAATATTTTTAAAGCTCTCGATTGTAGACTTAACCAAAAACGATTTAAAAAATCATCGAGAATCGATTGATAATATCAATTCTAAGAATATACATTTTATTAAAGCGATACAGTATCATTATTTTTTTATTAATATTATAATAAAACTATTTATATATATATTTATACGCACACTCACATACCCACATATGTTATAAGTAATTCATTTATCAAAAGTAATTTTCACGATGATCAGTTTATACAATCCATTTTGTTCGTACTAAACGAGTTCTGTTTTCTTTTTATTTATAAGTGTTCCTTTTCTACGTGACTTTAATTTTTCTATCTTTTGTACTCTTTTTACATTCTCGTTTGAAATTTGTACACTGGATGGTACATAACTTTCATCAAATTTCATTAACTTTCCTCTAAAATTAGGCTCGTATTCTTCAACCGAAGGCTTTATACCTTTAGAATTAGGTACATATTCTTCTACTAATTCCATAGAAGTAATACTATGAGGTTCATAAGCTTCGTAAGAAGCATTGAAATTTTTAATGGAGTTAGGTACATATGGAACATTATCCAAAACATCATTACATGATTGCACTGGTGTATATTCATTAGATGTCATTTGCATACTCTGCAGTGTACTTTTTCTACTTGGTATATACTTTAAAGGAGGAGAATTTTTCTTTATAGGTGAATCTGGTACATATTCTTCTAATGCCTGATCAGGAGAATATTTTGACTGTTCTATCTGCAAACTGCTATGATTATCAGGTTTTTCTAGATCTATTTCCTTCTTTATTAAATTATCTACTAATTCTTTAGAAGTTGATTTTTCATCACCCGAACTTTGTTCATGTATATCATTCTTTGTTAACTTTCTTCTTGCAGGTGATACATTTACTCTAATCGTTAACAATGATGTATCTTTGGTCCATTCAAAGGAATCAATTGTACATCTGCAATTTAATTTTTTAATTTAAACACGTACAAGATAAATATCAGAGAATTACTTTCGAATAAAACTGATATTTTTCTTACGTTATCTCTAATTGTCTTGTAGATTTTTTCCATTGACACCCTTCGAATTTTCTACGGCATTGCTCGCTAATATCATTTTTGCAGTTACGTAAAATGACTCTTTCCAATATTTTATAAACCGCCGCCCAATCTTCGAGATCGAGCCACTTGTTGGTAGATATCTTTTTCTTCTTTATTTCAATAATTTGTTCTTGCACAGTAACGACAACCGTCGCCACGCAATTGTCTGAAGCCTGAAAACACACCCACAGCTTTTGCTTTTATAATGATGAATATAAAACAACTTGATCATTTTGACAGCTGTCAACAGCTGTTGCAGGACAAAATACCTTTATCACTTCTATGTATTGTCCCTCTCGAAACATCTTTTTCTAATTATTTCTTCCTTCTACAAAATCTTAGGAATTATTTCCTAATATACAAAATAAATGTAGCAAAATGAAAAAATAATAATTAAAACATTTATCGTGATAGCTTTGACGACACTACAATTTTAGTGTCTTCTTCTCTTTAGTTACTTGTCGTTGCTTTACGCGCTACGTGTGCGCACATGAACATACAAACACATATTAATGAAGCATATGCATATATGTACGTTTCATACAGATACTAACTATGAAAATGAAACAAGTGAATGTATTAGACGCATGCGCACATCCTCGTCTTGCCATGTGCGCGATCAAATCAATTGTTATTTGAAAAATTTTTCAAACATAATTTTTAAATACAATTAATAAAACTATAAAATAATATTAATATACGTTTAAGGATATATTATTCTAACATGAAATAACAATTAACTGTTTGTAAAAGATACGTTTATCATAATTGTAATTATATTTAGATTTTTCTTTATTTATGGTTGTACAACTGCGTCCCAACTTATTCTATACTTTTTTTTTTTTAATATTTTTCAATACGATCTTATTTCGTACTTACGCCTAAATTTAAAATTATTAATATATATGTAGTAATGTTTTACTTCGATATATTATTCTCCTACACAGAATATCTATACCGGGAGAAATGATGAATGTATGAAACAGATCCATGTACAGTGTACTTAACCTTACAAAATTTAAGAAAGGTGATATACGTTATAAAAATAGAAATTATAGAAAAATAGAAATAATAAAGTAGAAATCATGGAGAAAGAAAAAATGCCCACTGTCTTTCAAAAGTTCACTATTTTTATGGAACAAAATAATCGAGCAGTAGTGGTAAGCTAATTAAATATTACAAAAGTAATTTTTATCTTTACGGATAATATTTCAATTATATTAATATTTATTTTTCTATAGTTTATTAGCTATGGCATCACTGGAATTGGTTTATTATTCGCATTGTATAAAATAAGGCCAGTATGTACGATAGTTTTTTTTTTTTAGATTAATTGTTTATCTGTGATATTTATTTTTTTTTTATTATTACCAACTAGTTTGCAAAATTTAAAAAATCATCTGATGTACCACGCCATTTTCTAAGAAATACAGAATTACAAGGACGTGTAGCACGTATAGATCCTTCATATGGTACATTGCTTTTGGTAGATCATAAACCTTTGATACCTTTCCCACGATTTGGCAGAGACAAGTACTTACCAATAAAATTAGCTGGCATTAACACAACTAATCATGGTAAGTATTATAACTTATTTAATTAATAAATAATATTATTTAATAAATAATATTAATTATTAATATGTTTATCTTATAAACATACTCTAAAATATATTATTACAGGTATAAGTTGGTTACAAATTGTAATTAATGGAAAAAACATTACATTTCTTCCATTAGTTAAAAAAAAGGATTATGTAAATTGTATTGTTACGTTTTCAGAAAAAAATCAGGTACATAAAAATGCTTTTTATAATTATATTTCATTATACACGCTATATATTTATTATATTTTTGATATTAAATATTTTTAGAAATCTATAAATATCGCGGAAGAATTAGTAAAGCTAGGTTTTGGTTCAATATGCAATGATCAAGATTATTTATTAAATAACGAAACTACATTAATATATTACAAGTCTTTAGTCAAAGCAGAGAAATTTGCACAATTCAAAAGAAATGGATATTGGCATTTGGTTAAAAAGCCAACATTTTTATGGAAGGTTAAATTATTTTTAAGTGAAAAATTAAAATCTTTATTGCCAATATTTTTAACAAAACAGCTTAATATTTAAATAGATCTATTCAATATTTTCAATTTTATATACTTTATCAAAACAAAATTGTAGTTCAGAAATGTAAATCATGTTTATAAATATTATACAATAAAAAATTAATGTCCCTATTAATATATATCCAAGATATATCTGTGAAAGAACATCAATAAACATCAAACAATAATTTTATTGTGAAATATATAGTTACGATATAACATGTCGAGCATTGAAAGTAATAATTATCTTAATTTTATTAAAATTAATTCATAGAAAAAATATCTCATTTTTATATGTATATATACTTATTATATGATATATTAAAATATGAATTAACATATGAAAATTTATTTTCATTTTTCCTTTTTACGTTTTAACGCATTCTATTTCCACATATATTTTTACAATAAAGATAGAAATAAATTATCAATATCATCAAAGATGAACGAAGAATTCATTCGATAAATAAACATTATATTCTTATAATTTTTAATTATCTTAAAAAATTTTTAATTGAGATAATTAATTTTCAATTATCTCAAAACATTTAAAACTACGTCTTATTAACTAATTGACCTTATTATACGATCAATAGAATCAGAATATATAAACAAAGATTTCTCTGTGTGTAGCACAGAATAGGCACGACCGATGTAATTCACGTCAATGTCTAATATTATTGTAAACATTATTGCACAATGTTCATTTATTTTTTTTAATTTAATTCGATATTGTATATAATTTTTTATAAAAGTTTTAATTTTTGAAATGTCTGTCATTTTGAATTCATTCATTTTGACAGTTAAATTAAGTTAAAATTATTCTTAAGAATTTAAAAGATTTTGTTAATATCTCAAATAGTTTTGAACATAATCGTTTGTTACATTTGTTACTACATCGGGAACATAATCTTGCGGTCACATGCCTAAATATACATATATATATATATATATATAGAATTTATAAAACAAAATAATTTCATGCTTATTTTTAAATATAAATCACAGTCTTTAACAAATATTAATATAAGCATCTTTTGCCTTACTCATTATTACAGTGGAACCTTTATAATGAAAAATTAACTGTGTCACAAATCTTTATGGAATGTATTTAAGAGAATTGAATATGCATTACTTTTAAATATAAAAATTCTATCTTATAATTAAATCAACTTGAAACATAAAACATAATATAAAACAACAATCCTGCCTTATTTGACTTTTTAAATAATTATGTTTTAATATTAATTTTTATTTTGGAATGTTATTATTATTTATATTAGGAGATTCAGTATTTTGATGTTCTTGCTTTTGAGCTTTAAATTGATTATTTTGAACTGTTCGTTTATTTATCTCTGATTTTGAATTTATTTCTTTTATATTTTCTGACTTAACATCAGAAATTACTTTATTCTTCGCTGTTTCTGATTTAATTTCCTTATTGTTAGATTTTGGAGTCGTTTCAGTATTTGATTTCGCAGTAGGCTTAGTTGCACCTGTGGTTGCTTTTTGAGTTGGAGTTGTTTTTGATACAATACTGGGTTTAACAGTAGTACTTGGTACTGATGTTGTACTTGGTTTGACAGTAGTACTTGGTACTGATACTGTACTTGGTTTGACAGTAGTACTTGGTACTGACGTTGTACTTGGTTTGGAAGTAGTACTTGGTACTGATGCTGTACTTGGTTTGACAGTAGTACTTGGTACTGATACTGTACTTGGTTTGACAGTAGTACTTGGTACTGACGTTGTACTTGGTTTGGAAGTAGCTATTTTTTCCTGATTAGTAGATGTTTTGGGACTTGTTCCAACTGAAGTAGAAGTTTCTGTACTTCTTGCAGTTTTAGTTATAGGTTTTTCTGTTGTTGATAATGTTTGAACGGTTGGAGTCTTTACAGTTTGTGGTTTTACCGTTGTACTATGTGTTTTTGGACGTTCCTTTGTATCTTGTATATTTGAATGATGCATTAATTTTTCCTTTTGTGCTAAATGAGGAAAGACTTTTTTTAAAGGTACTCGAGCTACATATTCATTATGTGGTGATCCAAGCCATAGATATCCTTTGTGAATAAAAGCAGAACTTAAATCATTCACTTCATTTATTAAATATGCAGCATCAACAAGTTTTCCTTTGGAATCCAAATGCAATATTACCGATTTAGGTTCTATCAAAATATTTAATATTTCAAACGAACCAATTGTATCAATAATTTTTTCTGTGTAAAAATTTGGATAAACATTCTGTATTAATTTAAACGGAGCTTCTATCAATGTGAGAAGTCTTACTATCATTTTCCTTAAATATGGATGTGGCATTAATATATGTATTAATTGAGGATTTTCTGAATCTATATAAGTATATAGACTAACTAGGAAGCCACCATGATTGTCAGTATGTATATTATCAGGGATGCCAGGAAGACCTTCGAGCAATATTTCTTGTTGTCCTGCTTTAGCTCCCTTCAAATTGTATTTAATAATACGTGAAGTTAATGTTTCTGATATAATTAAAAAACTCTCATCTTTACTTAATTTCACTCCATTTGGAAATCCCAAATTTTCAAGTAACACTTCATTGGTCTTTGTAGCTGCATTATATCGAAAAAGTCTGTAATAAATAATAATATAATAATATAAATGTATATAAATGAATATATATTTATTTATTATATTATAAATATTAAAAAATATTTTAAATATTATAAAAAATAAATTATACCTTCCAGATGGATTAACAAATATGCTATAAACACCATCATATAATGGGAAATCTGCGCTAGAATCTGTCCAAAATATATCTCCATTTTCTGCTATGTCTAAATAATTAGGTATTCTTGGAATTTTATTAGCTATTGGTTTAGATATATCAATAATTTTTTGATAATTTCCATTTCGATCAACTTTAAAAATACCTAAATAAGTATCAATAACATACAAATTGCCTTTTTTATCAAACTTTATACCCAACACTTTACCACATTCATAATATTGCAAGATTCCATCTATAAATTTTGATAAATTTAATTATCATTTGCACAATTATAAATAAAAGCAAAATTATGTTTTAATATTTTATAGAAAAGTAATTGATAATTATATAAATATAAATGGTAATTAAAAACTTATCAACTTACCACATTTTCCACCAAATTTTACAAAAGGTATAATTTCTTTTTCATCGATTTTAACAACATAGCCTCCCTGTAAGCCGACATATAATTCTCCATTATAAGAATCAAAAGACTCAGGACCCTTGAACTTTCCAATATGCAATAATTCTATCCCACTTATGCGATTATTATCTAATTTTCCACTTAGTTTAGTTGGAGGTGTTATACTAAAATATTTATTAAAATATGTTTATCTTAGATGTTTATTGAAAGTTTATAGAAAGTATATATAAACGACTGTACCTGTACTCTGAAAACTTAGCATCTGGAGGAAGTCCTGGTAAAAATGTAATCACAGCTAATAAAAGAGCTGTGTAAATAAAAGCAGTACCTATGGATTTAAGATACCCCATTACACGAATGATAACGATAGGAAATAAAAAATTAAAAGGGGTTTTATAAAGTTACGATTGCCACAAATATATTTTGTGAAAACACGAAAGAACATTCGTTCGTATACTCTTTGTATACCAATGAAATAAGGAAAAAGAAAGAATAATTTAGTTAACTGTTTCTTCAATCGTTCAAGATAACGGCATCCCGTACACTAATGGCGATACGACATTTAAGCTCACATGAAAATATGCAATTCACTTAGAAGTAATGCAGAACCTGCCACATAGACGGAAGTATTAACAAAATTGATTTCCGTTTAATGAAACACCTGTTAAAACAAATTTGTAACTATTGCTTCCTTTGAATATTTCATCAGATAAAACATTTAAAATGAGCCGCGATACATATAAACGATTCTTTATCTTTCAGAATAATTTATTTGATTATTATTGAAAAAATATTTGTTTCATTCCATACGAATATTTTCAAATATTATAATATATAATTTTTTATCCATATATCTCCTTTTTTTTTTTTAATAGCAATTATATTTCAATAATAATATTGTAATGTAATATCATTATCTTTTGAATTATACAGTTGGCAACACTTCTTCTATAAATTGTATAATTCTTCCTAAATATATATTTAATGACATTTGAAATCGTACATATTGAACGCTTTATATTTATATTTTTATTTTTTTATTCAAATAAATCAATGTACTATAATATTATTTTTTGAATTGCATAGACGAAATAAAATTAATAACAATGAGTAAATACATTTAAATACATAACGCTTTTTAATATGATAGAATATTTTTACTTAGACATTTTCAGATGACTTAGAAGAAAAATGTGAAGATGCACTGTTTGAAGTTTGTGATGCTCGAGAACGCTATCCATTATTATGTGCTGAAGAATTAGAAAAATGTATTAAATTAACCACTGATATACAGGTAATGATTACTTTTAAAATTAACATGTTCTATATTTATGTTCTTTTTAATATAATTACTGTTATAAATTTATTTATTTTATATGATGCATATTACAGACGGTAAAAGTTATACCAAATGTAAAAGTTTGTCATGATGTACAGCCTCTAACAGAAGAGCAAAATGCACTTTTAAATATTGCGTCTAAGAAACAAAACGTACCATACAAACATCAAGGTATGCAGTTAAAAAAAATGTTAAGTAAAATTGATAATCTAAAAATGGTTGTAGAACAAATTGAAAAGGAAAAGTTTTGTGAAATAAATAAACTGTTTCATATGTAATTTGGTCATCACTCATTTCTTGTAACTATGATTAAATAAGAAACGTTGCAATACAGAATGTATATTTGTATAGAATATAATTTATTATTAATATTATATAAGAGAAAGCAGTCTCTAATACAATTAATATAGATATTACTTAAGCAATCATTTAGACGTTTTACTATATAATACAATTTATTAATTTATGTAGACTAATGAGGAATTATTTCCTAAAATACTGATAATATTTTTTTATACTCATACGTTTTACAACAACTTTGACACCTCTTGTAATATCTTCTATAAACTTTAACATCTCTATGCGTTTATCCTCATTTTTTATATCTGTTTGTAAATATAATGATCTTGTATGCCTCAAAGCTTTTTGATCAAAAGTATTATTACTATGTTTACCATGTTGCATTAAATCCTGATAAAATTCTTCTGTAATGTCTTGTAATTTGCTTGGTAAAGTAGAATTTTTTGTTTTAACTGCGTCAGACGTATGAGTTGACATTTTCATCATTTTTACTTTCATCTTTGTATTGTATTTATAATCTTGTTGTTTTTTTCTTTTTCTATGTCTTCTTTTGTTTTTTGGATAATATATTTTGCATTGAGTAGATAGTATTGTTTTATTATTTTCCGTTTCAATAGATTGATTCTTTGCATCATAATCATTTGATTTTTTTCTTTTTTTACGTGATATTTCTGTTTTTTTTGTATCTTCAATATTTGAACATATAAGTGATGCATTATTATATTTTTTCACGGTATTATCAGATGATGGAGTCAAACATTTTTTCACATTAGATAAAGATTCTGTTTCCAAAAATTCTACTTTATTCGTTACATCTAGTATTGCTGACTTATTAGATGAAGTTAATCTTGTAATATCTGATGAACTATCGTGCAAATTTGATTTATGATTTATAGATGTATTACGTTTCGATAATTTTTCTTTGACAATATTTTGTAATGCTAATGGCATTTCATCTATTGTTATAATTTGACTTGAAATTATTCTTGGAACATTTGAAACATTGTTCAAAGTAACATTGCAATTATTAGTAGCTTCTACACCTTTAGATTTGTTACTATTTATATGATCTTCAGAAACAGTTAAATCATGTTCAACATTCGTTATTAAATGATCTTTTATATCAAGTCTTTTACAAGAATTTGATGTTTCTTCAAAAAGATTTATAGACTCATTATTCCAATATTGCATCTCCGAAGTAATATTTTTTTCACCTTCAATATTTTCTAATACATTTTCTTTACATTTTGTTGTTGCATCACATATAACAATATTTTTCATATTAGATTCATGTTTTTCATTATGAATAAACGACTTGCTTGATGTAGCAATATTTTGTGAATTAATAAATGTGGAGGAATCCATCACGTTTATTGGTATTTCTAAGTGTTGATTATTAGTAGAGTCTTTTGTTATAAATATTGAATTTGAGGATAAATTATTATTTATTGTAATTTTACTCTCATTATTACTTTTAATACTTTCTTTTGGCACTTCAATCATTGTTATCAAATTTTCCAATTTCAACAAACTAGAATTTAATAAACATTTCTCTCCCTCCTTAGTTTCGAATTTTTCTGAATTTTCTAAAACTTCATCTATATCTGATTTTGTTTTTTGTTCTACAACTGATACAATGTCTTGATCCTGTTGAATCATAAACATACGACCTTTCATTATTAAATCAGTAATATTGGAGGATTTTACTGTATTATCATCTATTTTTTTTTCCAATTCTCCATTTCTTTTAGATTTGCTATGATCTTTATTTGCTTTATCATGATCATTTATCAATTCTTTCGAACTTGCTGAAAGATATTTTGTAGATTTTGTACATTGCTCTTCATTACTCGGTGCTGTTTCAGAAACTTTATGTTTTATGTAATTCTTATTATTTCCATTGTTTTCTTTCATTACTTTTTTAATATGCTTATTTTCAGATTTTGTTGTATAATCTGCATTCAATTCTTGATTTGCAATTATTGAAATCGATTTATTAACATTTAACAAAGAAATACGAACAACTTTCTTTTTTGCATTTTCTATTTCTTTTTCGATGAGATATTGATATGGTAAATTCACAGAATCTATAACGCCTTCATCGTTTGAATTTATTATATTATTTGACGAGTTATCGTTCATTTGTTGTAATTCAATTTCTTCATGTTGCATTATTTCTTGGAATTCGATCTTATTTGATAAAGATAATTTCTCTATACTATTTTGATATTCATTCTTTTCTGTTTCTCTTTTCTTAAATGATATCGAACAGTTTTTGTTTTTATATGCATCTTTGTTTTCTATATTTACCGATTCATTTATTAAAGAAACATTCGATGAAGCTTTCCTATTACATTTTATTATATTGCCTTTATCTGTTATGTTTTCATTGTTTACATTTGATAAAGTCAAATTATTTGGATCATGATATAAACTTAAATTATTTACATGCTTATTTGTATCCGTAGTATTAATTCTTAATTCATCAGCATTTGAAGTTTTTGTATCTACCTTACATTCACTTTCTATATTTTTTTTTCCATTATCTTTGCTAGTACGGTTTAAAGATTTAATTGCTCTTGATTCAGTTTCTGAATAAATAATCATACCATCTGGCATATAGCTTTCATCTTTAAAAATTTTTACAGTAAGTACAATTGCTCGTGAAACTGTAGCAGCTTCTGTATGTTTCTGAAATTTAAGAATTGCAAACATTTTATCCTGGCGTGTCCATGATGTATGATCTAGAAGTAACTGTTAAAGAAACATATATATATATTTTTTTTTAATTATAACACAAAGGTTGTGAAAAATAATCTTGGATTTAATTTAAAATATCTGATATTCTTGTAAAATTAATTTTATCTTTTAAATATATATTTTTCTTTTTTACAAATTATACAAAGGATACTGTATGTTACAAGAATATGTTTTGTACGAAACTGTTGCCCTTGACATGGTTGACTTTTTATAATTCTTCTAATTATTTTCATTAATTCTTTTCCATAGATGAATTCCTTAGAATTCCTAAAATAAAATAAGTAAATATAAATAAAATATATTTTATGTCAAGAAGCTATGTAATATATTACCTAATTGTACGATGATACTTAAAAGTGAATTTATAAATATTATTTTTATAACATAGCCAATAAGACCCAGGTACAGTTAATGTAGATCCTTCTTGTTGTTCAAGCCAATCAAATTCGCTAATTTTATGTATATGTACTCCAGGCATTTTCTCTCAGGTAAAAGATCTTGGAATAAAGGAACCAATCTTATTTGATTTCTACCATTAATTGATTCCTTCACTATAAATGTCAAATAATACAAGACTCTTTGCTGAAAATAATATATCTTTCATTTTTGATATATATACATATATATACGCGTGCGCGCGCACTCTCTCACATATACACTCTCTCTCTCTCTCTCACTCTATAATTTATTTATTTCACTTACTCTTATAATTACTTCATTGATAAATAAATCTTCTATTGTATCCCAAGGTAAAAATGTATATGAATTAAAACCAGCAAATGTTTTCTCTATAGTAATATGTATACCGATTGACGGTACTATTAATAATATATCTGAATAAATCAAAAGAAATATTTAATCAAATATTTAATATATAAGAAGTTATATTTGTATAAGAAATTCTATAATAAGATAAACCTTTCTTTGTAGAAGTAAAGTAATATTTGCAGTATAATATCAAAGTAAAAGTAGATAAAAGAGAAGATACAAGGCTATCAAATATAATCCACAACAGTAATGTTATGCAGAAAAGTGATAAAACGCTGGCAATAATATTTACTGGTTCATCATTGTGTAATATAAACTTTATAACACCATAGGATTCAAAGTTTGGGCTTGAACAGCCTTCGCTTAATCCTAGTTTCTTTCCATCTACATTTCTAAAAGGAACCTTTGATGTGTCAACTGCTTGTAAATATTTTAATGACATCAAAGATAACCTTTAATACTTCTAAAAATAAAGAAAATTCTATCATTACAGTCTCTGACAGTTTCAAGACTGATTCTCTAGATAAATAATATCAACTTTTTTCATTGACATATTAGTATTAAATACATATTAGTACTACTATCAATATTTAAAAGATAACTTATTTAAAGGACTATTATATTTACAAACACTTAAACTATAACACGATTTAAATGGACTCCACCGAGTATTATAAAATCATATTGCAATATATTATAACAGAGTCATCGAGTCACCCATCTTGAATGTATGACATGAACTCGATCCTAGAAACAGTTCGTTGTATACTAAATAAAAATTAATATATAACAAAATATTAAAAAATTTTTTTTTAACGAACGTAATTTTATAGAATATGTAAAATATAATTTGAAATTGAAAATAAAAAAATCGATATATAAATAATAAATATATATGATGATCACCGATTGGCTTTTGATAATTTGATGGAAAGTAGCCATAATTGTTTTTACGCCAATGAAATAATTCAAATGAATTTAAAGGTAAAGGATGATTAAAGAAAAGAGAAACGATATGTATATATATGTATAAAATACATATAATCATATTTTTTATTAATAAATAATAAAAACACAAAGATATAATTTTTATTTTCAAGTCAGTATTCTTTTGCTGATAATTTCATTTGTACGCTTGCTTTGGACAATAGAACTTTTCCTAACAGAAAGAAAAAAACAAAGAAATAGAAAACAAAAACACAAAATTAATTAATATTTATAGCTATCAATAGAATCTATCGTATAGAGAAACGGAGATAAAAAATTGAAGTAAAAAACAAAAAAAAAAAAAAAAAGATACATATAAACGAAGAAGCAATGAGAGGGGAATTATGCGCAGACGTCATGTTTTTCTAAAGTTGCTCGGTTCCCGTCAAGTAGAGGGAGTGAAACAGCACCTGCTGCCATTCTGGCATTACGTCAATGGTGGTCGTCTCATTCGTTCGTTGGGAGGAGTTGCTACGACCGCCATTGTTACAGTTCCTTCGCATTAAAGAACGTGATTAGTGAATCTGTAGATTTGCTTTTCGTGAGGTTGTATCGTTTTAACGTGAATCGTTTATAGATTTGAGGTGAAAAATATATACGAATATTAGTGAACGTATTATATCGACATAGCATGTCCACGATGAATCCTGAATAGTAAGTAAACTTCTTTCTACGTAGACATCGTAGACAGATATCTTCCTTGCAATTTTTCTATCTTAACTCATTTATTTTTCTCTCTTTTTGATCGCGATGATAAAGGATTTGACGAAACTAATGAAAACAATTCTACGTAATATAATTTTCTTTTGTCTAATCATCTAAAAGGATTCAAGCTGAACTGTCTGACAGATCCACCTCTCCCCTCTTCTCCCTCCTCCTTCCACCGTCCCCATTTTAGAAGTTCTTTCTCATACGTTTACATATAGCTTTCTTTTGTTGTATTAAAATAAAAAATTAACAAAATTAAACTTATCAATATAAAAAATGATATTACAAGTAAACATTTGTACAGCTATGATGTACAAATAAAATATCATGAATTATTTTATTAGTTTGACAAATTTAAAATAGTTCAATATTAAGATGTATATGTTAAAAACATATGTAATCTTAATAAGCACATATTGAATAACGTTAAACAATAAAAGTTAACTGATTGGAGCAATGAAGCTATTTATATTTTATGTAATGAACATCTGTTATTAAATATCTATTTAATACAGGTTCGAAATTAGATTTTTTTTTTTTTTAATTTTTCCAAAATATAATGATACTTTTCTCATTTTATTCATATATATTTTCAATACATAAGATATATTGTAGGTAAATTTTTTAACAAATGTATCATTTGTAATATAATCATATCTAAGATTCATAGAAATATAAAGGAAGAGAATTTAATTATCTGTGTTACATGGATTATTTATATATTATAATAGTAATAGGAATGTAATAAATTATTATGTATAATTCTATAAAATTTTATTTAAAAAATTTTATATAATTTTATTTCAGTGATTATTTGTTCAAATTATTGTTAATTGGAGATTCTGGAGTTGGAAAATCGTGTTTGCTATTACGTTTTGCTGATGATACGTACACAGAAAGTTACATCAGTACTATTGGTGTAGACTTTAAAATACGAACAATTGATTTAGATGGAAAAACAATCAAATTGCAAATCTGGGATACAGCGGGTCAAGAAAGATTTAGGACAATTACAAGTTCTTATTATAGAGGTGCGCATGGTATTATTGTTGTTTATGATTGCACAGATCAAGATACCTTTAATAATGTCAAACAATGGTTGGAAGAAATTGATCGTTATGCCTGTGATAATGTCAATAAACTTCTGGTTGGAAACAAATGTGATCTTCATACTAAAAAAGTAGTTGATTATACTACAGCTAAGGTACAAGCATACTATCATGTTGTGTCCATCTATACTATATTATTTTATTTGATTATTTTATTCTATTTTCTACTATATATTTCTTTAGGAATATGCAGATCAACTTGGTATTCCATTCTTAGAAACATCTGCAAAAAATGCTTTGAATGTAGAACAAGCATTTATGACAATGGCTGCAGAAATTAAAAGTAGAGTAGGACCACCCTCGAGTGGAGCAAGTGATCCAGCAAACAAGGTTAAGATAGAACATGGACGTCCTATTGAGTCGTCTAAATCTGGGTGCTGCTGAGAAATGTAATTTTGATTCTCTTTTACCAAAAGTAAGATTTATTAATTTACTAAAAATATAATTAACAAATAATATCTTACCACTGAACTCTTATCATTTAATATAAATTATTCTGTTTTTACAGAAACACATGTTATGAAAAGCAGTTTTATACTGCAACGATTAAACTCACCACCAGAGACAAAAAATATGGAAAAAAGTCTTCAGTTAATATTAATAGATATGAAGTGTGAAATGTTGTCACATATGGACCACCAACTCTATTACAGAGTTATGCAACAATTGTTTGGCCGAAATTTTTTTTTAAGGGTGAAAAACATGATTACTCAAATATGATTACTTAGTATGAAAGTGAACAATATATAGAAATGTCGACTTAGTATTACAATATTCAAACGCGCAAGATGCGTATATGGGCAATTCAAATTTAAAAAATAAATTAAATAAGTTTCTGTATGAATATTAGAAAAATAAGCACTTTGAGTTTATAGCTTAATTGTAATATGTACAATTTATAGTTATTGGCCCTATATACCTGCTTCTCTCCCCTATATGATCCAAACAATTTTTAAAATATGTCAGAGAATTACGTTATTTTCCTGTTGAAAGTTTAGTGCATTTTTTTTCTCTCTGATTAATAACGTAATTTAATATAATATTAATAAATATTTCAACACTAATATACAAACACATACATATGTTACATACTTATATGTAAAGTGAACATTAATATGTTAAAATAAGCACCTGCACGCTTCTTACATTGTATATTACATGGAAGATGCTTATATTTGTAAAAATTTCTTTGTGTAACTTTGATCTCGGTTACATATTTAAAATCGACATTTCACAAATATTCAACCATACAAACATTTTAACAATAGACTTATTGTTCTGTTGCGTGTGTATTAGTAGAAGTACAATTCGTGAAATGTTGATTTCAATAAATATCTTTTCAAATTTTATTTCTAAACGTGTTGCCTCTCATTTCGTTCGCCGTTATTTCATATTGAAATGACATTAAGGATATAAACAAAACACAGTTATGTTTCATACAATTGTTCTATTGCAATTTTATGGATGAATAATGATCTATCAGGTATTTTATAAATTTGCGATTGTTTATTTTGCATTGATGATACATAAACGCGCGTATATTATGGGAGAAAGTGTTTTCATTATTCTAACATTAACATTTGATATATATACATAAATATATTGGGAGAGGCGTGGTAATTTTAATAATGCAAAATTTAAATAACTCTATAGAAAATAAGGATAATCATGCACATTTAACAATTTTTATATATGAAGTTATAGTCAAATTTTAATTAAAAAAGAAAATGTATCTTTTATACAAGATAAAGGTCACCGTATTGTTTTGTTACCTTATATCTAATGTGCATAACAAAATATCGTCAGTATAGCAAAAATTAATGCATTCGAAAAATTATGTCAAATTTATATTGTGCTAGTAATACATTGTTACGCGTCAGCTAATTAATTATAATAATAATAATAATAATATAATAATAATAATAATAATAATAATAATAATAATAATAATAATAATAATAATAATAATAATAATAATAATGATAATACATAAGAAGTTTTTAGTACGCGGGTATATACAATGGTGTAATTAATACACATTATACAATGTGTGAATAAAAATGATATGTCTCAGTAAACTGTAAGTATTATATTACTTGAAATAGTTCCATTTCATTTTCGTTTGTATAATAATGGCTATAACTTATAATTATTCACGTAGACCTATTCTGATTTCGTTACATGATATGGAGGTGATTATTTACAAGGGTAGTCTTTCTACGAGTAATTTCACATTTTACAAATTGCATACTATAGTTTAT